GAGACATTTTTGAAAATCCCCTCCGAGAAGGAGAACTTTCCCACCAAATGCAACATTCAAATTCATAATTTCTCTTAGTAATCTGCCTCTGGGCGCTCCAGGCGCTCTGAGGGCGGGGTCCTCCCGCAGGCCTCGCCCTTCCCAGAAACAGCTCGGGGAGGGCGCCTCAGGGCCGGTGGGACTAATGGAAGTGGGGGGGTGGCATGGAGGTGGTGCCTGCGCTCTGGTCACTTGCACACTGTGTTTTATACCACAGCATGTGGCAGCGGCTGTGACGGTCACCACGGCAACCCAGCACTGACTGCAGGACTGACTTCTGGTTGGTTGAGCCTCCAGTCGTTATGGTCGTTACGGACCCAGGGTTTTTATATATTAGGATAGCTGGACCCAGCTAGGTTTGCAAGCAAGTTCTATCAAACTTTTGAGAGACAGATGATTCTGATACCATTTTCATGTTCTAAAGCAGTCATTTTCCACCAGTGTGCCATGAATATTTTTTCCTTTTCACTTTTTGCCATGAATATTTTTAAAACATGCAATACCTGACTAGTCAGGGGCACTGACCTCTTTTTCCTCAGATTGTCAAATTAAAAAATGACAACAGCTAACAGAACAATAACTGTCTGGTTTGAATGAATCAAAATTATACCTTTTTGTTGTTGTTGTTGGATTGGCAAAAAACACATTTTTTGGTGTGCTGCAGAATTTTAGTAATTAGTTTATGTGTGCCAGGAGATGGAAAAGGTTGACTATCACTGTTCTAAAACATAGATAACCTCCCCTGTTCAATTCATGAAGCTAGAATTATCCTGATTCCAGAACCTGAAAAATATAGCAAGTACAACAAATCATAGTGAATATAAATACCAAATCCTAGATAAAATACCAACAAGTTGAATCTAACAGCATACATCATGGCCAAATAAAGTTTATTTTAAGGGTGTAGGGATGGCTTAATATTAAGAAATATATCCAGAATTTATAATAAGACAAAGAAAAAATATAAGGTAAATGCATGCTGAAAATATCTTTGATACAATTCAATATCCATAACTGAGCTGAACAACTTTTTTACTTTCCCTTAGCAGAATAAAAAGAAGCTTCCTGAAACAAACAGTAAAACACATCAGACTGCTTAACAGTAAAACCATGGGACATGCCCATTCAAAGCAAGAGCATAACGAAGTTTTTTGCTGTCACCACTATTATTCAACATTGTTCTGGGAGTTTTAGCCAATACCAGGACAACAAAAAAGAGAGAAGAAGAGTAAATATTGGGAAAGGAAGAGCATAGTTTTCATTATGACTCCTCCCTGGAAAAACCTAAGAAAATCTATTAAATTAATATTAAAAATTTTTAATGATAGCCAGACCCAAGAATATTTTTAAAAAATCAATAGCTTTTCCCACATAGCATCAATAATCAGTTAGAATATATCATTGGGGAAATACTGACAATAGCAACAACAACAAACCATTTTAAAAGCAACCAAGTACAGATTCATTTCTCTAGACCAGTGGTTCTCAACCTTCCTAATGCCACGACCCTTTAATACAGTTCCTCATGTTGTGGTGACCCCCAACCATAACATTATTTTCGTTGCTACTTCATAACTGTAATTTTGCTACTGTTACGAATCATAATGTAAATATCTGATATGCAGGATGTATTTTCATTGTTACAAATTGAACATAATTAAAGCATAGTGATTAATCACTAAAACAATATGTAATTATATATGTGTTTTCCGATGGTCTTAGGCGACCCCTGTGAAAGGGTCGTTCGACCCCCAAAGGGGTCACGACCCACAGGTTGAGAACCACTGCTCTAGACACATAGCCAAATGGATTCTATTCTAAGCATGATCTCCCGTCCTCACGAGTGACAGCCTGAGCTGCTTAGGAAGAAAAGGAACACTCACCGTGATGAGGGGCGCTGTCCTGGCTGATGGGGAAGGTGGTCTGGACTCACACGTGGGCCAGAGGCTGGTCCGCCATTTCAGAGCCAGCAAAGCCTGAACAGAAGAGGTTCCTGCCACGGCCTCAGCTGGGCAGCCTGGAGTTCTGCTCTGGGCTGACGCACTGGCCACGTTTGTGTGACTCAAGAACGGGAGGGCTCCTTTTCTGGGTTTGGAGGGTGAGGATTCTCAGGGAGCTGGGGAGAGACTCTGGAAATGTGGGCCTGAAGAAGGCCTGGGAGAGAAGATGGAGAGGAACTAAGGAGGCTGAGTGGGGTCCGGAAGGAAGGAGCGTTCAGTGGAGCGCCTCCAAAAGTTTAAAGCAAGAGGCCTTCCCCACCTTGGGCCGTGCGCGGGGATGACTGGCGCATACCGTCACCTCTCCCGGTCCTCTTGGCACTGCCCTGGCCTGCTGTGCTGGCTGCTTTGTGCTCCACTTCCTTCCCTAAATTGACTCTCCACCCTGCTCTCTGCCCGGAAGGCTGACCTGCAAGGTTACTGCAACAGGTTCCCCTTTCCTCTGGTTTCCGACTGGGTTCGGCAGGGGGACGAGGCCGAGGGAGGGAGGACATGCCAGCTCCACGCAGCGCCTCGCCTCACCCCTTTGGACTTAGGGGAACTCATACCCGGCACACTCCCTGTGCTTTCTTACACCTGCTCACACCCGTGTAATTAGTCTCATTAGTTAGCCTCCCTCGAATGATCCTCATTTGGGTGGCCCGCCTATTTTCCTGCCGGACCCTGACCAAAATAAACACTTGCCTGACTGCTCGGTAAAGCGACTGTCCAGCAGAGTTCGGAGGGAGAGTGGTCTGGGGATAACAGGTGAGGTTGAGCTTCGCCTGATTACCTGGTGAGATTCTGGCCGAGATGGGGCTTCCACCTGTGAATCATCAGGCAGGCACGTGCCAACCAGCAGACGCCATCCCAAACATGAAACCATGTTCCCGAACTTCCCTCACAGGGCACGAGGTAAGTACCGCTCCCACGCGGACAGCGGAGGGGCCCTGTCCCCATTAATGCAGCGATTAACGCACAGGGACGGCTCTCGTAGGATTCTGCACCCACTGGTAGAGTCAGGTGCACTGCGGGTGACTTTATTCTTTGCTTATATTTCTAGGTACTTTGGGGAATGCACATGTTATTTTTATAATGAGAAAACAATACTAGTAGTTTTGGAAAAAATGAGAGAGGGTGGAGGCGTGGCAAGGGTGTTAACAAACTTCCCGTGTGGTATGAAGGACCCCTGCCTTATCCTTACCCTCACCAGCCTACCTCCCTGAGAACTCAGCTCGGCCTTAGACTTGGCATTTGTTCTCTCTGTGCACCATTTTGCTCTGGGCCAGTGAGAGGACGAGGTGAAAAGCACCATGGAAACGAAAGTGCTGGAGAGCTCAGCAGTGACTTTTATGATTCCTGCTGCTCTTTGGTCCTGCCCGATAGTCAGACCCACCCAGCAAGCCTGCCTGTTCCCCTCAGCTGACCTGTGTCCACCTTCGTGGAGCTCTCCGCAGGGCTCGCCCTGCCCAGCTGCCGGAGCCAGGGAAAGTCCAGACCTGGCTGCAGGTGTTGGCTCTGCCCTACTCCCTGCGGGAACTGGACCAGTACTTCTGCTCTCTGGGCCTGTTTCCCTCGAGGGACAAAGTGGAACCTAGCCCTCCAGCTTCAGGATTTTTGGGTTGGGAAAGGGATTTCCCTCTGCTTCCCTTCCCCTTCCCTCACGCCCCTTCAGCAGCTGAGAGAGGGGGAAGGCTCAGGGGCAGAGCCTCAGGTCCCTTTGAGAAATACACTGAGTGGCCAGATTGTTATGACCACCCCATCAGTACAATGAAGTGAATTAGTTATGCAAATAATAATAAAACCTTGAGAGTATTTGCTTAGGAAGTTTTCAATATTCAGTATTTTTGGAAGTGTCAATGAAGTCCTCTTGTTGGGGTGGTCATAATAATCTGGCCACTCAGTATAGAGCGTCCCCTGTGGGAGTGTGGGAGGGTGACCCCCAGGAGCCTGTGGCTGAAGGAAAATCATTAATTAAATCAAACGAAGGAACTTATGTTTTCTGTGGATTTTGTGTCAAGGTCATTAGTGTTGCTGGCAGGTGTGACTTTCTTCCCACAGTGGAGCTGAAACAGACCCCAGCCACCCCTGAGGCAGGGGCCCAGGCCCAGGGGAGGCCAGCACTCAGCCTGGCTCAGTTAACATGTCCTCAGTAGAGTCCAGAGCAAGCGACACAGCTCACCCCAGAGTGAGAAATGGCTTCATTTTAAATGTCCACATTGCCCGGAAGTGCACACATAACCATATAAAAATCATTTTTATTAAAATATAAAAGTTTTCCAATATATTGCATTGAAGATATTTATATAAAAAAAGCAATTGCAACGAACATGCTACATTGGCATTGAGATATTCTGAAAGCTTAAGTGCCCACGTTTAAACAACATTTTGGTATAATAAGCATATCCTTATATATTTCAGAGGGTACATATAATACTGAAAAAATACTTCATGTAAAATCTAAGTTTATGTGCATACAAAAAAGTATTACACTGAATAGCTTATTTCAAACTGTGAAACATTCAAAGTATTCAATTTCTTAGACAACATGCAAACATTTTAACATTTAGATTGACATTTTAAATATATAAACCATAATTCTTTATAATTTTATATCAGAAAAGAAAGTCAGACAGAACACATATCTACATTGTGCATGCCACAAACGCAAATGTGTCTTCAAAACGGAAAGTACTGGGTTAGTACACATGATTGTCACTTTACAAATATGGCTATTCACCTTCTTCATAATAAAATAGGAAAATCATGTATTATTTACATGAGCTACTAATTATTTCATTTTTTGGCAATTATTTAAGTAGCAGCAATTGGTTTAAAGATTGATGTTTAAAAATTCTAAATTTACCTTGATGAATACTGAAGAATATACATCTGGTTAACATAAAGATGCACAATGCAAGATGCTTTGATACGATAGATCTCCTCCCTTTCACCAAAGTCACAGACACATGCTTGTAACCACTGAGACTGTGATTCCATTTAGTTAGCTTGCTTTTGCTTGTCACAATAGATGGGTTCCTAAATTAAATGCTGTAAGTTAAGGCTGCCTGATGATCTACATGATAGTTCCAAAGATGCTTTATCTCCATCCCATGCGTTAATGCAGGGGCTCTTCACTGTGCCCCCAGCTTCTACACAGAGTAGGTTATTGTCTGTAAACACACACACAAACACTAGGGGCCCCTTAACACTTACAGGAACTCTAAAATGAAGTTCCTGTGACACAAAGCCCACAGTCGAGCGAGTTATCTTTCTAAAAAGTGACAATGTCATTCATCAGTGACGTTGAACATATTTTAGTGAGGGACCCACCTAATGAGCAACCTGTAAATTGGAAGGCAGTGATCCACCAGAAGAAACATCCTCTTTTCATTAGTATTTGGAGGAAAATTTTTGAACATTTATAAAAACAAAACAAAACCCCTACTAATATTGGCAGATTAAAAAAAAATACTGTGTGGTGAACAGAGGTGATGAATGCTTTGACCTGGCCACTCTCCAACTTGGAACCTGCATGCAGGAAATTAGACTGAGGAACATTCTGCACGTCTCATGGGCAGTCAGTTATGTCCTAGACTATGTGCAAGGCGAAGCCCAGAGTGAGGAGGAAGAGGCCGGAGTGGCAGGGAGCCCCGGCCCGGACACCAGCCGATGGCATGCTGCTGGAGACCTGCACCTGAGAAATGATGAGGGCAGAGAGAGGGACGTGGGACGCCAGGGTAGGGCTGTCGGCGTTGATAAGGGATTCGATCTTCTCGGCTTCTCTATTGCAGGCCTCAATCTGGGAGAGGAAAATCATATTCTCTTACTATAAAACCACAGAACCCACGAAAAGGTCAAGTCAAATTCCACATCTACTCCAACACAGGGAATGCGCTTTCACTTTGTCTTTTTCTTAGCAAAGTAACATTTAATTATGGTCTTAATTCATTACATAAATAATAACAGCATCAATGGAAATCAAATCAGAAATGAAAGGATCCACAATGCCACTCCCTTCTTTTTCCACAATCTTGTCACTGCTTATCCACATTCAGACATTAGCTTTCATGGTTAAACACAGTCACAGGGAATGGACTTTCATGCCTGTTCACACATCTAATTGCTGAAGGAGCAATTAGAGGCAAGTACAGTGGGGCCTTGACTTACGAGTTTAATTCGTTCCGAGACCGAGCTCGTTAACTCAAATTACTCTATCAACTCAATGCAAAAAATCAGCCGAGAGACAGCTGGTATCTCAAAAAACTCGTTAGTCGGGACACTCGTAAATCAAGGCCCCACTGTAATTAGGCTGAACGAACTTTCTAATGATGGCAGTTAGAGGCCGCTTGTATTCCCCCCTTCGCTTGGGCCCTCACGATTTTGATGCTGAAACTTGGGGGTCTATGTGAGTGAGGTTCACCTTGATATTGTGGGGAAGAAAAACTGGGGCCCACAAGACCAGCTCCTCCTCCCCAGTGGGAGCACAGACTCAGGAGACAGGAGTCTGTTCTGCTTTGTCACTGTGCGACCTGCCACTCCCTTGCCTCCCTGGGCCCAGCTGCCTTGTCTGTAGGATGAGCAGATGCATTCCATCTGCCCACACTTAGAGTGACAGCATCTCAAGCTCTCCCCTCCCCGACTCAGCATTCTGCTGTCAAATGTGTACCTGGCCCGTCACCTGGCAAAGTGCTCGCCGGTGCAGCTCTGTCCCTCAGACACCGCCAGCTTCTCCTTCCTGCCCTGCCGAAATGCCTCCTTTCCTCTCCTCACCACCTGATCCTCCCCATGCTGGTCTGTGCCCACCCCCTGCCAAGTCCACCAAACTTGAAGTTGACAAGATGCCACACAACTGTATGCTGAACCCCACCTGCAGAGCTTTGGGATAATGATCGACCGGAATGATCAGGATCACTATTTCGGATTCAATGCTGAAGTATCCAAATACGTCACACTGTGGGACGGACACGTGCGTGCGGATTTTCTGAAGTATGTCCAGAACCGTTATTGGCTTTTTGTTTGTTACCTAGAAAGAGAAAATAAATTTCTATTATCAGAAAAAAATAATTCCTCATTACTGCCTAAGCCAAGGGGCTGTTTTGGCCAAGGAACCCGTCAGTGCAGGGCCCTGCAGCTGGATTTGAAGTTGATGCCGATGAGGTTTTGCCTGACATGGAGCTCTGTAGCTAAAATAAGCACTCGCACCAGAAGCGCCAAGGGGCTGTTTTGGCCAAGGAACCCTGCAAGGCCCTGCAGCTGGATTTAAAGTTGATGCCAATGAGGTTTTGCCTGACTTGGAGCTCTGTAGCTAAAATAAGCACTCGCACCAGAAGCACTGTTTCAAAGTGACTGTTCTGAGGACAATGGGGAGATGGGGGTAATTTTCGAGGAGTGACAGGTACTGGCTGCTACGTGTCTGGGAGCCCTGTTCCCACCTGCTTTGTGTACCTGTACTTCAATGACTCATTCGTTAACAGTGGGCAGTATAAGCGACGGCACAGAAAAAGAAAAGAGGCAGAACTCTCACGGGATGGTGGCTGGCTCTGGAAGCAGCCCATAGGGGAACGGGGCCGTGAGAGGCAGGCAACCCCCAGACCATCTGGCAGCTACCAGTCTCTGGCCGCCTGGTTTTGCCTCTACCCCTAACCTGCTTCCTGTGCCAGGAGGGGACCTTTCCCAGAAAGGCTCGCTGTGCTGCCCGGAGCAAGGTCGCCACCCAGCCAGGGTGTAGGAAGGGAGCCCAGGATCGGGAGCCAGACAGCTGGAGTTCAAACCCTCGTTTCACCGCTTACGAGCTGAATGGCCTCGGGCAAGCTGCTTCTCTGCAAATCAGTCTCTTCATCTATAACTGGGACAACACACTCTACTCTGAAGGGTTACAGCGGT